TTTTAATCTCAATTGAAACTTACAACCGTAGAAAAACCTCATCCAATCAATGTGCACATCCTGGTCTCACTGACTGCATAGAACTCCCTCCATCAAATTGTGTTTGTGTGTGTGTGTGTGTGTGTGTGTGTGTGTGTGTGCGTGCGCACGCACACACGACCGTGTTGTGAACCTGCGTTGTGATTTTGCACTAACATGTAGCCATCCTTACGCTGACAAAGATGTAACTAAGTAACTTTTACTTTGAGTACATTTTATTTATGATACTTTTTACTTTTACTTGAGTAAAAATGTAGGCAAGTACTTTTACTTGTACTTGAGTAAAAAATTATCAAAGTATTGGTACTTGTACTTTAGTAGGAAATTTTAGTACTCTTTCCACCTCTAATAATAATAATGATAAATAAATTAAATAAATAGAGGGGTATTGCCATTTTGTTTTGTTTTTGACATTAATTGCTTTTATTAAAGCTGTGGTCACGACTAACTCTGGGATGGTAGGTTGTGGTTTAGACTGGAGCGTGTAATCCAACTTTTTTTGTTGTTATTTATGAAGTTGAATTTAAATTGCACAATGCAACTGGCTGACAATTTTGAAAATTACATTTTCAATTTTACTACTGCCACTTATGTCATGGTCTGCGTCTGTGTCTTCCTTCATGTGTCTCCTGATGTTTCTCCATCCCTCTCTAGATTCCCTTCTGTGTCTCATAGCGCCCTCATGTGTCTTTTGTCTGCATCTCAGTTAAAGTGTCTTATGTTGTTACCCTTTTAAGATCATTCCTCCCAGGTCAGCTCCAACCTCTTTGTCCTCAGCTCTGTGTATGTGTGTGTGTGTGTGTGTGTGCGCGCGCGTGTGTGTGTGTGTGTGTGTGTGTGTGTGTGTGTGTGTGTGTGTGTGTGTGTGTGTGTGTGTGTGTGTGTGTGTGTGTGTGTGTGTGTGTGTGTGTGTGTGTGTGTGTGTGTGTGTGTGTGTGTGCGTGCGCGCGCGCGTCCTCCCCAACTCAGGGTAAGTGTGTGTGTGTGTGTGTGTGTGTGTGTGTGCGCGCATGTCCATTCCCCAGTTCAGTGTATGTAGGTGTGAGTTTGTGTGTGCCAGTGTGTGTATGTGTGTGTGTGTGTGTATGCATGTCCATTCCCCAGTTCAGTGTATGTAGGTGTGAGTTTATGTGTGCCAGTGTGTGTATGTGTGAGTCCTTCCCTCAGTCTGTAGGTTTAGTTTTTGTGTTTTAGGTTTATCTGTCCTCCTTTAGTTCTGTTTCCCCCATTTAGATAAATTATTGTCACCTGTCTTCCCTCCAGCCCTCACCCCACACACCTGCTGCCATTTTCCCTAATTACTCCACCCTGTGTATTTAAGCCCTGTCTTGTCTCTGTCTTGTGTCGGTCCATTGTGGTATTTCTGTCAAGCCTTCTCTAGTCTCTAGCTTTTTTGAACCCCAGTCTTTTCTAGTCTTCAGTATTTTGTCTCTTGCTTGGAAATTGGATATTTTTGGACTTATTGGCTCCCTGCCTTTGGATTTATTTTTGTTTGTTCTCGGCTCATCCAAATAAAGGATATTTTCTTATTTCAACATCTGCCTCGTGTCATCTTGGGTTCTGCATTTTGGGTCCTACCAACACCGTAACGTGACAACTTAAGTTCCTTACAGAAAAGAATTACTTTTAACGAGACTTATTCATGAGCTTTCTTTTGTGGCAGTCACATAAATAATGTTTAACCTGCAAAACGTCTTTATTTTCATGACCTTGACCTTGAACAAAGGGGTCAACAAGTGCTATAAACCTCTGGGAACTCCTTCAAGACCGTTGGAAAACCATTTCAGGTGACTACCTCTTGAAGCTCATCAAGAGAAAGCCAATAGTGTGCAAAGCAGTAATCAGATGAAAGGGTGGCTATTTTGCTGCCACCTGCCTCTTGTTTCCCAATCACCATAGCTCCCGCTCCTCGTGTATTTAAACCCCTTCTGTTCTGTGTTCCTTGTGGTGTCATTGTTTCATTGTCCAGCGTGCGTCCTAATAAACCTGTTAAAGTGCATCCTACTTGTCTGCCTGCTTCCTCCCCGGTCTGGATCCTCGCCTTAGCTCCGCTTCACTCAGCAGCACGTCATGACAGAAAGGCTGCAGATAGATGAATAGAATAGAAAATCCCTTTACTGTTCCTCAGTGGGGAAAGCTAGACGTCACAGCAGCGATGACACGTATTACAGGAGAAAAAAAGGAGAATAAAAAATGCTGGCCATGCAAGAACTGGGACATTTTCAGCTTCCAAGAATTGTGTCCAGATCCTTGCAACATGGGGCCGTGCATTATCTTGCTGAAACATGAGGTGATGTTCATGGATGAAACAATGGGCCTCAGGATCTCATCACGGTATCTCTGTGCATTCAAAATGCCATCAATAAAATGTACCTGTGTTCTTCGTCCATAACAGATGCCTGCCCATACCATAACCCCACCACCACCATGGGCTGCTCGATCCACAACATTGACATCAGCAAAGCGCTGACCCACACGACGCCACACACGCGGTCTGCCATCTGCCCTGAACAATGTAAACCGAGATTCATCCGTGAAGAGAACACCTCTCCAATGTGCCAGATGCCATCGAATGTGAGCATTTGCCCACTCAAGTCTGTTACGGCGACGAGCTGGAGTCAGGTCAAGACCCCGATGAGGACGACGAGCATGCGGTTGAGCTTCCCTGAGACGGTTTCTGACAGTTTGTGCAGAAATTGTTTGGTTATGCAAACCACTTGATTCAGCAGCTGTCTGAGTGGCTGGTCTCAGATGATCTTGGAGGTGAACCTGCTGGATGTGGAGGTCCTGGACTGGTGTGGTTACACATCGTCTGCGGTTGTGAGGCCGGTTGGATGCACTGCCATATTCTCTGAACAAAATAAAATGTTTTGTCTCAAAAAATTGTGTAATGTCTAATGTTTGTAATAGATTCAGTGTGTGATCGATTCGGTGTGTTCCATTTCTCTAATTGTGTTTTCATTTTTGCTCTTCAGCGTTCTTTCCATGATTGCTAGTGTTCAGCCAAAAGCTACTTGTGTTTATTAAGTGAATATATGTGTATGTCATGTGAAAATATGGCTGTGTTTACCAAATGAATACACATGTTCCATTTTGTGAACATGTTACAAGATTTGATGTCAGAGTTGTTTTGCAAAGGGATGCCAGGGTTTAGCAATTTGTGTGTGATGTTTGGGGTTTGGTGTGTGCAGTTTCGAAAGAAACGTACAGTTTTTAAAAACGCGTTTTAGCAATCGAAAAAAACTGTAATCGTGTATTCCAAAAGGAACTTTACTTTGAAAATTTAAACAAATCCTACCTAATGTTCCTTTCTCTTTTCTGTTTTAAGATGATGAAACTAAGCTGCTTTCTGCCATTCTGTTGGGCCTCACAGGCAGTGGAAAAACATCTGGTTTAAATCTAATTCTACACAGAGGAGGGAATCAGTACACAGTTAGTGGGTCCAATCAGGAGCCAGCCCCACCAACAGTGTGCTGTGAGAGAAAGGAGGTGTTTGCAGGAGGGATGAAGCTCGTCTTTATGGACACCCCTGAGCTGTGAGATGAAGATGGGGTTAAGAATGTGGAGCTAGTAAAAGACAGCCTGGCCGTAGCTTTTCCTGGACCCCACGTGTTCCTTTTGGTGCTCCAGGTTGGTCGTTTCACACAAGAAGAAAGTGAGATGCTTGGACATCTGCAAAAAAAACTTTGGGCGAGAAATGGCAGAGCGCACCGTCATCTTATTTCTTTATTTTGATGGCAGCCAGTGCAGGTCTCTGAGGGTCACAGACTATGTGAGTGATTCTCATTGTACCCTGCAAGATCTCATCCAGGAGTGTGTGAGCCGTTAGTTTGAGTTGAATGTCACAAAGTCTTACAACTTTCTGAGCTATCCTCAGATGAAAGAGCTGATTTCAGGAATCAACAAGCTGGTTGCCTCACATGAGGTTGCTCCTTTTCAGCCAAGAGATTTTCTCTCCAGGAGCTTCAGGAGGGAAGTAAAATTATTGGGGGTTGGGGGGGGGGGGGGGGGGTCTTTGGAAGGTAAGTATTTAGTAGGAGAGATGAGTAACTTTGCATCTGCATGTTTTGTCTCATCTGCTTTTCTTTAGTGTAAAGCTAACTATGTCTGTTGGCCACATAGTCGCCGTAAATGAGAACAAGTTCTCAATCAACTAATCTGGTTAAATAAAAACAATAAAATGTCAATTTGGATGAAAATATAATATCAGTGAGAAATCTGAAATGAGTTAATTTGAATAAAAATTTGACTTCTTTTATTAATTTGATGTTCTAGTTTATTTAAAAAACTCTAAAAAGAAATTCACTTCATCTCAGACATTGTATATTACATAATTTTGCGTTTCTGCCTTTAAGTTTTTGTTGAAGAATGTACAAGCGTTTTTATTGGGGAATGTTTTTCAATCATCTCCAATAAAGGCTGAAACAAATGTGTGGTGGTGTTGAGAGGCTTTTCAAAACAAATGAATGCTTTGTGTTTTTCTCTTTAGAGCCAAGAAGATGAGGGAAGAACATGGACCAGTCCTGATTTGTTTGTTTTTCTGCATAGCTTGAACAGATGTAATATATGCAGTGCTCCTATGCCTCCCTCAAATCCAGAAACAACTGTAATAAATTTAAACTAACTGACCCCGCGAGGAAAGTTGACCATTGAGCAGGGTTGATAGTTTATCCCTTGGGTCCATGTGGCAGGGGGGAGGAGTGAGCACTACCTCACCCCTGCCACGTGGACCTCAAGGGATAAACCATCAGTCCGGCTCATTGGTCAACTTTCCTCGCGGGGTCACCCATAAAGACAGTGGGAGTGTTAAAGATGAAGAGCAGAACTTGTAAATTGTTTTTCTTGACAATTTCCACCATAAAAAAGCATTATGTTATGTAGGCAATAAAAATGTTGACTTTTAAAAAATGTTTTATGCTGTTGTACTTTGATGCTGAGTTCGCTAAATAAACAACAAAGGCTTGACATCACTTGTATTTTATTCTTTACTACAAAGTAAAATCTGAATGGAATCTGGTTGTTATGAACAAAATTGCTATCACTCATGCGTTGCAAGAGGAGAAAACCCACAGATAGACTCATGCATATATGGATCTGTAGACTAACATTTGTGGCAGAAACACTGAAAACTGTTGCCAACTGAGATGGTTATTCTTTGATTTAAGTGCTTAGCTCTGGTGCTCCAGTCGTCTGAACCCCCATGGTTCTGTCTATCCACTCGGTGTAGTGGGAGATGATAGTGTAAATTCCAGGCTTTTTAAGTTGGCCACACTTTTTTCCTCCATTGGAAGTGATACCAATTGCAATGTCATTGAAGAGCAGAGGGCCACCAGAATCCCCCTAAAGGCAAATATACAAAAATAAAATAATCTTAAATAAGAGACACAGACCATTGTCTTTGAAGTAAGGGGTCTAAAACTTACATCACAGCTGTCTTCCATCCCATAAGAATGATTGCAGTCATTACGGCATACTTTATGTGCACAAATCATGTTACTGGTAAATTTTCTGCCAAAGTAGTCAACCCGCTTGCATTTGCCAGGATTGATCACCTCAATTTCCACCTCTTTGAGCTTGTCCGGTCTAGACCCCAAGTTGTCCAGTGATCCCCAGCCAGCAGTCTCTACCTTTGAGCCAGGACCGGGATTTGTGCCACCGGCTCGTAGGAACTGCACTGCCTTAACTGCGTCAGAAACATTAAATGGACTGTCCAACTGCAAAAACCACACGATAACTTCAAAAACTTTCTTGGTTTTGTTATTTAAACATGAAACACAATCATCATAACAGAACGGTGAAAAGAAAGGTACAACTTTACCTTAATCAAAGCAATGTCATTATCATAGTTTGATATGCTGAAATCAGGGTGATTGTGTAGCTCCAAAATGTCAAAGGTTTGTTTTGTTTCCTCAGGCTCACTCAAAGAATGGACACCCAGCACTACCTTTCTTCCACTGGGTCTACACAACAAGTGCAAACAATTTTACATCCACAAAATCCCATTTCCCCTACCAATAGTCTAACCATGAACGAACCCCACCAACATGAAACTGTTAAAGAACATTTCACCTTCATGCATTCGCTAGTAGTTAGAAGAATGTTTCCTCACCCGGTAGGCAGGCAGTGTACTGCTGTCATCACCCACTGATCTGCAATCACAAATCCTCCACATTCATGTTTCAGAGTGGCTCCCTCCGGAGCCTGGATGGAGGCCATGTACGGTCGAGAGTGTGGTGCTGCCTCTTTACCTCCAATAATACCCTCTCCTGCAAGAGGTCACCAGTAAGGATTCAAAGCAAAAACGTTAATATAACAGATACAGCAAAGCCAACAAAATATTACTTAAAAGAATTTGTTTGCATACACTCACCCTGTGAAATGAAGGCTGCCAGAAAAAGAGCAGAACCCACAAGCAGCTGCATCATGTTGCTGTTAAAAATCAAAAGGCATGCAGGCTCTTTAAAAGGCTTCCCCCAAAAGGGGGAAACTCATAAATCGAGGAGATGTTGTGCAATGACCCAGGGGGAGGGGCAATGTCTATTGTTCTTGAAATAAAGCAGAAGACCATGAAATGTTTAAATGAACCATATTTCTCCCTATCTGATGGATTTTAAGGGGACATACAACTTTTCTTAAGTTACCGTATAATAGTTCTATGGGCAATACAAACGTGTTTCAGAAGTTCTTTCTCCAAAATCCCCTTCAAAGTGATTTCAGCAGTTTTAATCTCAACAGTTTCAGTGTCTCATCTTAGGTGTGTTCATGCTGTGTCGTGGTTCTAATTCCATGCTGTCGTTCTTTTTAAAACACAGAAACAGTTTCGTTACCTGTTTTGTCGCAATGTTTCGTCTGCAGCTGCAGACTTCCTCAGGCTGACGCTGATGGTGGCGTCACTTCCTACTCCGTTTATCCGCGGGCAGCAGAGGATGTTGTCGCCCTCTGCTGCCCGCTCTCCCCTCTCCGACGATGCAGTCCCATGCGCGGTCCAACGAGTAAACCCCATCGTCTCTGTTCATGGTCCCTCATCCACGTCTCCTTATCTCGATTGCTTCTTTAATCCATCTTTTGTATTTTTGTTGTTCGGTGTTTATGATCCGTGTGCTCTCCCAGTCCATTATATGGTTTTCTCTTATGCAGTGATCTGTTACGGCTGACTTCTTTATTGTACTTTCTGCTTCTTCGTCAGCCTGAGGAAGTCTGCAGCCGCAGACGATACGTGGCGGGAAAACAGGTAACGAAACTGTTTCTGTGTTTTAAAAAAGACCGACAGCATGGAGTTTCAGTGTCTTCCAAAATTAGTTGTTTTTGGGCTCTGTCTAAGAAAACTAGCTGAGCTGGCCACACCCACCCATCATCTGCTCAGGGTGCTATAGAGCTCCAGGAGTTGATGCCACTTCTCCCGGCATGCAACAGTTCAAATCAAAACGGCGCCATCTTGGCAGGCAGAAGCCCGCAGCTGGGCTATTTGTTATTGTCAGAAAACTCAATCAAACGGGAAATGTGGTAGATTCCTAATTCCATGCTGTAGTTCTTTTTTAAAACACAGAGCAGTTTTGTTTACTGTTTTCCCGCTACGTTTCATTTGCGGCTGCAAACTTCCTCAGGCTGACGCTGATGGTGGCGTCACTTCCTTCTCCATTTATACACGGGCAGGAGTAGGAAGTGACGTCACCATCAGCGTCAGCTCTGAGGAAGTTTGCAGCCGTGAACGAAACTGCCTGCAAGCAAGGTAAAAAGAAACCTTTTCTGTGTTTTAAAAAAGAACCAAAAATGGAACTAGAAATCAGACACAGCAAGAACGTACCAAAGATGATTTCCTTCTTTTTGGTTTAATGGCGGATGGCATAAACTCGAGGGAGTTTGTGAACTTGTGAGCTATGCGAGGAGGATGGAGGATGTCTCGAAGGATTTTGTGATCTCGCGAGTCAAGCAAGAAGCACAGTGGAGCACTTTGTAGCTGAGACTCTCCTGGTGTGCACTGGAATGCAGCGATTGTTGAGTAAACCTTTCTGCTGTCGTTCTGCGCTGCCAATGCTTCCAGTGTGCAGTAGGGGTAACACAGTAGTGATGGGAATTCCGGCTCTTTTTAGAGAGCCGGTTCTTTTGGCTCAGCTCACCAAAAAGAGCCGGCTCTTTCGGCTCCCAAGTGGCTCCTCAGATTTTCTGTTGCGTAGAGTACATTTGTAACCAAAATAATGCAAAACTATGTGTAAAGTGATTTACTAATGTAAAAAAAATGCTATATATCAAATATTTATCATTTCTATGGATTTAATAACTGAACACTTTCAGAAATCTCCACTTTCCGAATGCTGACGCACATTTTCTCACCGTCTTCGTCGCACTCTCCTCTCTCTCGCTCGCCTTTTTCCTCCTCCTCATTCCCTCTCGTCTCCCTCCACCCACATGTGCTCTGCTGTGTGTCTGAGTCTGATCCTCCCTCCTCCCCGCCCCTACTGCTCTGTGTGTGGACAGTCTGGACACGCAGTTACATGTGTTGACCAATCGCCTGTGGCTTTCACCAAAGCAAAAGGGGAGGGGGGAGGGGAGGGGACGGCTCCCAATGACGAGCCGGCTCCCGTCGTTCACTTCAAAGAGCCGGCTCTTAGAGCCGGTTCGTTCGCGACCGACACATCACTATAACACAGTCCTCTTGGATGATTTCTAGTGACAAGCCCGGATTTTCTCATTGGCTTACCTGGACTGCAGCCCTGGGCCCTAGCGTACAGGGGCCCCTGCCCTTGATCCAACCATTCTTTTCTTCTTTTTTTCCTTTTCTTTTCAAATGCCCTAATTTTACCATTTCCCAACAAGATGTTATCTTGTACCTATGAACCATTGTGATTTGTTTTGGCAAACATCTGTTATGATTCCTTGATTGCTATTGGTCTAAGTTTTATGCAATATATATTCTTACATCTGGGTGTGCCACCCCCAAACATAAAAGTGATTCTTGAAATTTGATGCCTGAATCTGTTGCTGTTGTGGCGGCTGAGGAAACAGACACCAGAGGCCCAAGCTGAGGTTTAGGATTATGTTTTCTCATTTGAAAGTGATCTAGAAAATTGGCGGCTGAATATGCGACTGTTGTTCCAGCGGCAGCTGAGAAAACAGACACCGGACCCAAGTTTAGAAACTGGATGATCCTTACAGTACGTGCTTACTGGGCTGAGCGAGAATCTCAGAGCTGCCAACACACTGGCGTAATTTTTAAAGCGTTCAAAATGTACAAATATCAGAAATGACTCTTCTTCAGATCTCATTTTAAATGCAGGCTTGCTAAGGATGACTCCAGCCAAAGGCAGTGGCTGCTTTACTCTTAGTCTTCCGATGCTGGATTATATTTTGCATGTCACTAAAATTAAGTTGTGCATTTAAACAAGTTTTAGTGACTGGAAACAAGCCACAAAAATGCAGGAAAGAGCATGAAATAGCAAACATCATCAAAAAGCTTTGCTGGTATATACAGTGTGGCAATAAAATGTAATATAATATAATATTTAGTCAGCGACCGATTGTGCAAGTCCTCCTTAAAAGATGAGAGAGGCCTATAATTTTCCATTCTAGGTATACCTCAATTATGAGAGAAAAATGAAGAAAAAATCCAGAAAACATTTTAAAATAATTTGTTTCTATATTATGGTGGAAAATATGTATTTGGTCTCCTCTAAACAAACAATATTTCTGGCTCTCACAGACCTGTAGCCCCTGTGAGAGATCATCTGTCCTCTACTCGTTACCTGTATCAATGGCAAATGTTGGCACCATAATTTGCAAACAAATTCTTGAAAAATCAGACAGTGATTTTTTTTACATAAAAAAAACTCTATAAGTCAAATATTTATCAACTTTCAAAACTATTAAAGCTTATTGGATATTTTCCCTTTGTATATACTAGGGGCTGCATGTCTTAATTTTTTTAAAAGTCGACAGTCAAGTAATGAAAATCGAGTCGACTTTGACTAATTGTTGATGACGTCATACACCTGAAGCGGGTTGGTTCGCTGGAATTTCTGGCAATTAAAATTGCGCCCATATTTTCTAAATTTAAACACGTCTCTATTAACAACGGTAATTTCTGCGTCTTTACTGTCCCCCTGCTTCAGCCCTCTCCCCCCTCCCCCTGCGCAGCGGCCGCAAACTCACTGATGCGCCTGCAGCCTCTCAGAGTTCCTGCTGCTCTAAACATTAAAATAATTATTTCATTTTCTGTTCCTCACTTCTGATTACCTTCAATGGTGTCTGTTTGTTGCAGCCAGCAGGTACAAAAACTAACTTGTTTTTATTTGACTGTTTTTCTGTCCTGTCTGTTTATTATCTTCCTGCATCTCCTCTCAATCCTAAAGAGAAACTGCTACCTGGGTTCATATATATTCACCTCATGAGTTACCTTTAAACTGCAGTTCTAAAAGATCTACCGACCGCTAAAACAGCGGAGTGCACGCCAGCCGAACCGGTGAGGTGAAGTCACCGGAGGACGAAACAGGTGATGAGCTCCGCTCCACAGCGGCGAAACGCATCAGGCACAAATAAAAGACAGAAAACATAAAAGGAAATGAGCCGACATGAACGATCATGTGTAAAATTAGTTGTTGAGGTGGCGTCACTTAATTTGATAACGTTACTGTGGCCGTGCTCAGGACGCAGATGTCTGGAGCACGTCAACAATCAGAGCTTTGCATGCGCAAGCTGGTTAAGGTTAGGATGGGGGTGAGGGGAAGTTAAATTGCAAGAGGGTAAAGGTCAAAATTCGGTCAAATGTCTGTTTTACTGCGGGCGTCAGATACCGAAGCTCTGGCACAGCGCGTTGCCTCCCGACGCGCAGGGGCTTGTCACCTGCTTTCTTTTCCGAGGGCTGCATCTTGTTGGTCATTATCACGTGACAGCGACTAGTCGATGAAAGGCATAAAGAGTCACTACAGAGCAGTGAAGTCGACTGGTTTATACCACATTCTGCCTTTTAATTGGAACTTTAGCTAAAATATGTCTAAATTTTGCCCTGTTCTGCTTTCTCTCTGTTCTCACACTAGTAATGGTTGCATCACCTTGTGGGCGGGGTAGAAAGCAGTTTTTAGAAAGCACCACCTCTAGGCCAGCTTAGAGTTGGTGCTAGGTCAAGCACCAGTTCAGAAGTAGAAAACTGGTGCTACAGCTGACAGAATCAGCAGCGTGGCACCAAAATGGCCTTGAAACCAGCTCGGTCCAAAAAAACAAAACAAAAAAAAAAACGTATAACTTAGTGACCTCTTCAGTTTATATTTCCTTTTACCCGTTCCTTTTCATTGTGTTTTGGTTATAAAAGACTTCCATTTTACCTCACCTGGCCGCCACCTGGAAGTACTTGTGTTTAGGTCCAGCTTCAACAGCTTCTCTGCAACATTTCCTTCTTGTGTGATAGTTTTGTTAGATCTCTTTAGGAACAAAATCATCTCAGATGAAAAGGAGTATGCTAGGCACATGTTCTTTGGTTATGCAAGTCCTAGTAGTGTTTAATGAAAACATGTGCCGTGCTCTGCATACCAAAGAAAAATCATTTCCAGAA